GGTTGGGAGAACAAAGAAATAAATACAGATATACATACATACATACATACATACTCCCTGAGAAAGCTTTCCTTTTCTTCTATGTTCTCTGCAGGCTACGATTTTGGATGCTTTAGGATTTACATGTGCAAGGGTCTATCACACGCATTTATATACGCGCACATATCCAGAGGCTCCCATGTGTATATATATTTATATATTTGTATGTTTATATATATTTATATATTTGTATGTTTATATATAAATAGCATTGTATTGCGGGGCGTGACCCAGCTTCAGGCAGCCCATCTAATGGGAACGTCCTGTCTCACACACCGATTCTCCAAACGTTTACTGTATCTTGGCACCCGCTTGTAAAGCTTGTACTATGATTTGAACACGTGTGGTTAAACCATCGGACCCAGAGCAGCTCCTAGATTATTCGTAATTAAGCACAATTCCCAAAGTAACATTTATCTTCCCGAAACTGCGATTGCAATTGTCAACCGTCTGGAGGAGACGCGGGGTAATCTGGAAGCATTACCTCCTCTCCTAACGGAGCAGAATGAAAAGAAATCAATACCGCTGAGGAGAAGAATTTAGTAGTTTTTAACTGTAAGTGGTGCCTGGGAGAAGGTGATATATAATAGGAAGAAAAAAAAAAAAAAAAAAACAACACAACCGAAAGCAGCTTAAACAAATCTATTCTAGGCAGGACCGAAGGACCGGCGGCGGGGGCTCCGCGTCTGCCCCGCCCGGTGCCGGCGCGCTCAGCCCGGGCGCTCGCTCTCCCCTCCGGCGCCTCCCGGTACTTACATGACCGCCCAGGAGCCGATGCGTGCACAGCGATAACGTACCGGGAGAGCGGAGGGGGGTCGGAGGGGGGGTAGAGGGCAGGGGAATAAACGGGGAGAAGGAGGAGATGCGGATCGSATCTAGGCGCACACCGGCGATGTAATCAGAGTGGGTGTGAAGGTGCCTCTTCCTCTCCCTCCCCAGGCGTGCACACACCAGCATGTGCACGGTGTCTTCCCGAGCTAATCTAATTACAGGGACCTTTTTGGAGGCGCAGTTAGCTTTTTTTTTTTTTTTTTTTTTTTTTTTTTTTTTTTTAAGCACAGATCCAGACAAATAAATAAATAAATAAATAAACGACGAAAGACATCGATGCGAATCCCCTCCGCAGGCTGCAGACAGGTCGGTGTGTTCCCTCGCCAAAGTAGCTCAGCGAGAAGCCCGGGCTCTGCCGGGCACATCCCCGCCGSTTGCGAGGGGGAGCAGCCAGGCCGCTCAAGCCTGGGAAAAGCGTGGCKGGCAACGGGACGGGGACCCCCGCAGGGCTGGCGTGCACCTGGGACACGGTGAYACCGACGGAAGGAAAAACCTACACAGCAATAGCTGGAGGCACCGGCGCACCGGCACTGCCCGTTCCCGCCGCGCTGCAGCCGGTGCCCGGCAGGGAGCTCCGCTTTCAGCCCAAGTGCCCAGTGAGGCAGTGAGAGAAAAGTCCCAGGTAAAGCACAGCAAAGYAGAGGAGCGGATAGATAGAGGTTAAAGAACATTCACCACCCGCTYTGCTCAGTGACCACCCGGCACAGCACGGTGCTTTCTGACTGGTGGCCGTTTTGTCTCATTTACACCCTATTCCCCGAACAAGCCGAGCCCTCGCGGGCCTGGAGAGTTGGTGGTCACCCTTCGGTAAACCTTCCAGGTGACAGATTCCAGGTGAAGGYGGGGGATGAAGGGGACACCTCCTGGCCTCCGCCTACCCGGGGCAGCAGGTGCGGGGCAGTGGGGCAAACACGGGGCCAAGGCAGCTTTTTCCAGGGCACGGGGCCCAGGGAGGGCGAGGACAAGGCCCCCGCCTAGAGGCTTTCCCCGTGACCACGGGAGCGGAGCTGGGAGCCGCTGGACGCTGAGGACAGAGGTTTCCTCCTCGCTGGATGCTTGACAAACAGTGCAGAGCCGCACTGCCAGGAAGGCGATGGGAGAGTCTGGCTCCCACGCGTGTGCCCCTAAATTCGCTCAAGGGTGGCGTGACACGCTTTGCCTCGCTAACACGGACATCCAGCTCACGGCGTGGCCAGCTTGCAGTTTAATCTTTCCAGCTACGCCGTTTCAAATAGCACAGACCTCTGTTTCCTCAAAGAGAAAGCTGCGTCTACACCCCGGTAGCGCTGTCTGTAGACAGGCGAGGACCTCTGGTACAAGGGTCTATCCATCTCTGTCCGCTCGCCGGTCGCAGCGCGGAGAATCGGGGTTTGCTCCAAGGAAAATCCACCCCCCTTCCCGAAAGGTTAGCGACAGCTATCGTTGTGGCTAAAGTTCCGAGATTGCTAATCTACATTGTAGACTCAAGATGTTAGGTAGACTTGAGCAAGTTGTTCCCAGGATGTAAATTAGGTCCCAAAAGCTGTTGTCCAAATCGAAGAAACAGAGAAATTAATCTGGGAGACTATCCATCATAGGCTGTAATAAAGGGAGCGACATGGATGAGACAGATGATATGATTAAGGAGCTGTGGTCGTTTTAATTAACTTTTTGCTGTCCTGTAATGATCAAACTGGTCAACAGACCCGGTCAATAAGCATGTTAATATCAAACAAATAAAACCAGGGATGATTAAAAACCTCCTGGTTTATTAAATTTGAAATTCAAATGAAATTTATGCTGCAGATGCATACAGAATGCTAATAGATTTTAGCTTTATTGAGAGTGGATCCCACAGGTTTTCAAGAAACGGCATGAACATTTATCTCCTCCCGTACATTAAACTTCAAATGGGGGGGGGGGGAGAGAGAAAAGTTTTAATTAATTTCTGGAAAACCTCTCTTTGCTGGCTCCCCTCTCACACCCCCGCTCCCCGTGCCCCCACCTGCATATTATGTTGATGTACTGCACCCTTAAGTGCAGTGGTCAATAAGGCAAATGCAAACAAAATTGTAAGCTTGCTTAAATCCTTTGCCCAGCAGGCAATGCATACAAAGGAGGAAGGTTACAGATGTTTCCGTGTCGAATTCAGAAAAGATCAGCTCACCGCTCTCAAAGTTTAGAAGCTGCTGCTTTTCCAGTTTCGGGGAAATTATCGGAGTAGCAGGAGGATGCCCACCGGCAGGAGTTTTGTGATATCTGYTCTGATGTTACTTGTCTTTCTTTTCCTCCCTCTCAGTTGAGTTCCCTTGTAAAGACTCCCACGATAATTTTTACGAGTTTTTTTTTCATAATTTCCCACGCGGTGCTTTTAAAGGAAAAGAGCACTGAAAATTAAGTATTTTCGACCCCAAATTAAAATAGTCAGGGCAAGGATCGGAACAAACAAACAAACAGGGAAAGATCAAAAAAGGACACGTTTCCTCTGGGCAGACAAGTGCAGACAAAATACGGATGCGAATTGAAGACCCGCCCGGGGAGGCTCTCCTAAAAAGAGATATATCACTAAAGGCTTCTACTTCCCCTRTGGATGGCAAAGTCTCTCAGACTTTCTCGGGCTGAAAGGAATGCGTGTCGATCTTTTTACCTAACCTGGCACACCACAAAATGCGATTTTGTGTTCCTCTAAAACGTAATGCTMACGATGCTTGCTTTGCTCTTACGCTTTCTGATCTATGTCTTAATAGTTCCTCCCCATCTCCAGCAGATAAAGAAAGTGGAGATAAAAAGTTAATAAGCATTCATACAGGGGAGTATCTCCCGGAAATGTTCTTCCCCTCTTTGCGGGTGATAGTATTGATTAAATTAAACCCGAAATTTAAACAAGTGTGCGTTAGGTCTGTAAAATGAATATCATTATAGAAGGAGACCAAAGCAATGAAGTTAATTCTTTTTTATTTGTTAAACGGAGTTCCCTCCTTCCCCCACCCCTTCCTCCTTCTGGGCTGGCCTGTCACGCCTTCTCAACAGGCTAAAATCATTCAGAGCAGCTCGCGGAGAGAAACGCGACATTTATGGTAAGCGTCAGCCTTCAGAGAAAGAAAGCAGTTCATTAATTTACTTCACTCTTACTTCAAAGTATGATAATGTACATTACCCCCTTGATCAATAGATATGATGTACAGTCAATATCCCCATGACACAGAAACGGGCCAAAACCGAAGCCGAGAGAAAAACATCCCTGGGAAGCTGAGGAAAACCGCGGAAAAGCCGCGAGGGTGAGAGCACCTGGGCGAGCGGGGCCGGGCCTCTCCAGCAGGGAGAGGGGGAGCTGACTCTGCCCTTCCCCGCTGCCGTCCAGGGCTGGGCGAGGAGCSGAGGGGAGCCAAGCGCGCACCTCCGAGGTGCTCCGGGACTGGGCGGCGAGCGGGGCCGCACAGCAGCCTGCCCCGATTGTGCSGGTGTCGCCTGGCAGGGCTCCGGCTTGTGCTRCCYCACCGCCAAGAATCACGCCTGAAASCGCGGGTCTGCGAGGGCGAGAAGGGAGGGAACGGCAGTGCCAGCCGTGGCCTAAAGCGCTTCCCCGCCTTGCTGGGACAACGGGAGACGAAGGACTGACCGGAGGGGATCGGGATGGGGGCGGCTAGAGGAGAAACGGGATGCTACCGCTCTCGCCAGTCCGTGCCGACAACCATAGTAAGGCTGAAATGAGGAGGAGGATGACGATGATATAAAAACTCAAATATAAACCGCTCCGCTGAAAAAAACCCCAAACAACCTGTTGTCAAATTACGCACAAGGGGAGGGGGGGTGGAATTGATGGAAAGAGGCGGCCGCACGGAGCAGCCCGGGGTGAGTGGTCCCTGCGGACCGGGAGCACAGCTCTCGCCGCTCGCCGACGGGAGTGCGTGAGGTCAGCAGCGGCGGCGGGGCTCGACGGCCGGGCTCGACGGCAATGCTGACCTCACGCAGTCACGTCGGCGAGCGAGGCGGCGGTGGCGGGGATTGGCTGGCGGCGGCTCAGCGGCACTTCAAAGCCGGCGAGGGAGCTACAATTGTGGTGGAATGGGCGGAACTGATCATTGTATTGCACACCTCTAAAAAAAACACTGCCTCTGATTTATCAATATAAAAAAGATCCTCTGAGAGGAGGGCASTTTTGTGTGATGGCAACTTCACTTCTAGGGGTGAGTCTAAGGATTTTTTTTCTCTTGCTGGTTTAATTGGTTTCTTTTTATTGTCGATTGGAGGGGGTTAAAATAACCCCTGTCTTGACCGGGGCTATCAGTCTCCTCTATTCAGCCTGTTTTTTTCTTTTTTTTTCCTTTTTTTTTTTTTTTTTT